TCATTAATGTGATAATAATCTATTTATACTAAACTAATAATAACTAATCTAGTAATATAGATAAATAATTATAAATAACTAAACTATAAATAAATACTACTATAAATAAATATTGTACAATTATAATAATATATTTTCTAATTATTTTGGTTAAACATTTTTCCTTTGGTTAGATGTTTATCCATATTCCATTCAGTATATTATTCATCCTTCGGGTAATTATTCTTCCAATCATATGATTATCTCAATATCTAGGTTACACTATTTGACTGACTGTTTGACCGACCAGTTTGATTAATCCTTTAACTGACCATTTAAACTTTTGCAATTTTTTTTATTAAGGCATTAAAAAAATGTGTGAAATGTTTCTTTTTTTATGAAATATTTAATAAAAAACAGTACATTTTCTATTAAAAAAATCAAAACTGTTGCAAAACATTTTTTTATTAAATTATTCCTGTAAAAAAATTTTATCCATGATTTTTGTAAAAATTCTGTAAAAATAAGCTTTTTTCTGGATCCATTCATGGAAAATATAAATAATTCAATAAATTCTGGGATATAAGGGTATTAATTCCGGAAATATGAGCCTTTTTATAGGGTATTTATTATCAATTAAAGATATTTGCGAAAATATTTTTATTATTAAATTACATATTGAAAGATGTTTTTTTTTATAAAAAAATGCCCTTTTAAAAGTACTTAAAAAAAAACATTTTGCAACATTTTTATCAAAAATGTATTTTAATAAAAAAAAGAGTTTCGCAACTTTTTTCTTTTTTTTTTTTAATTATTTTTGATAAAAACGCTTTTTTTTGTTGTTTTAATAAAGTTTAGGTTCTTGACCAAAAAAATTACTAATCAGTCAAACAGTCAGTTAAATGGTCAGCCATAGCGGTTGGTCAGAATGGTCAGTCAGTTAAAGGTTCTTATGACCAACCGATGACTGACCATAACTGACCGTTAGAATTCCAATCTGTCATCTGACAGATAATTACATTTTAACAGTTGTACGCTCATTTAATTAATATAAAAGAGCATTTTTTTAAGGATATCCTAAGAGCATAATACAGTACATAATTTAATTAATAAACTTTCTTTTCAAAAATGAAAGTAAGGAGAAATTAGGAACAGATTAAAATATTATCTGACAGATAAAAATTTCAATCTGACTAAGATTTCACCCCATTTATTTTATATTCAATTAATTAAATAATGCATAGTCTGATCACCTTACATCAAATGCAGTTCCTAAATTATAAATTATGAATCATAAATGTCTCTTTCCAAAAATAAATGAGAAGAGATTTATCATCCGTCAGATGTTGGATTGGAACTCTACCAACCATTGCCATCTCTAATCATAATAGAAATTAATAAGGTTAGTATTCTTAAAGAAATTTTGGAATAATTTTTGGCTGAAATAGAATGATTATTATTAGTAGGAATGGAGTGACCTTCAGCAGGAACTTCAATTAACTTTTTTAAATAAAATAATTGTCTTTTTTTTTTATATCTTCAATAATTCTTTTCCAAAACCCATCAATATCTAAAGAAATCTGAAAAACTTGGTTTGTATTGTTTGGCATATTTGGTAAGGACTATTTTTTTTTAATTGTATTTATTTAAAAATTAAAGGCAAAAGAAAATTCATCAGGCTTGGTTTTAAATTTGTGTAATATTCCTGTCAAAGAAAGGTTTTATTCACTCGTGAAAGTAATCCACACTTCTAACATAAAGGCAAACACAGTTCAATTTGATAATTTATGTTAAATTATTTTATTTAATAGTTTAATTTATCAATAATTTGATGTAAAAGTATTATGGCAAAATAAGGTGTGTTTCCAAAGTTAGATTTTATGTCAAATTTTTAATCAAATTTTTAATAATTAATATATATGCTATATATATGCCAATTATCTGCTAATCTGACTTTTGAAGCTTTGAGCAAAGCCACAGATCTTCATGCAAAACTTGAAACTTTTACAGTATATTATTTAGGTATTCAAGAATCAATGGCTAAAATAAACCTGAATAATTTTTATCTGATATTTGACAAAATCTTTTATGAATTATTTTAAGAACTAATTTGTTAACAATAAATAAAATAAGTAAATAAAATCAAAATTTTATACATTATTATGTAAAAAATTAATTCAACAGCATTTTTTTATATGATAATATTGGAACAAGTGATTGGTAAAATGATCAGCAATATTGTGATAATATGGGGATATCCATCCTGTTTAAGTATATAACATGATATTTAACTGTTATAAAAAAGAGACTATTATTAGTCCGGAGCGTAGCAAAGGACCCTATATGTTCTAGCCGTGGTGATACAAAATATCCCATTGTCCGTCCGCTTGTTCTTTGAGTCAACATTTAATTGGTTCTTATATTACACGAAATTATCTTGATCGGTTAATTGAGCATGTCGTTATCTACCTATATACTGATAAGCTCCGGGCGATGTAACGGTTTACCGTTTTCCTAGTTAATAGAAATTTTTATTTAGTAATAAAGAAGGTATACATCCTCCAGAATAAGCAGACTTTTATCAACTACAAAGTTAGAACACCTGAACTGAGAGGTTACCAGGGTTTGTCAAATCCAGTAATTCCCTAAGTCAAGCACATAATCGACTTAGAGGTTACCCTATCATTGCAAATAAAAAAAATACACACTTGTCTTTTATATCAGTACCTTTTTGACCAGGGTAGCTTTCAGATGTGCTTATGTTAATTAATTAAAAATTATAAGATGTAAAATCTTTTAGTAAATAATAAAGTTAGTGAAATCTAGTTCTAAAAATTTTTGACATAAATGGGAAAAAAATCTTTTGTAAATGGACTCAGGCTGATGCATTAAGATATAAAAGTGATAAAAATTAATACATGATATATATAACTGAATCTATTTGTCATATTATGACAAAATTGTATCATTTTGCCAAATATAGCATAAATGCATATTATAATTTTTGAATAACATTATATCAATATGACAGTTATAAAATTAGACATATATAGCTTAGGAGATCAAATTTTAATTTGTATATATTTAGCAAATGACTCAATTTTTGTTATTATAACCCATTTAACATATAACTGTACAAATAAGAAGGGTATTAAATAAAAAAATCTCTTGTATTAGTATAACTCAGGTTGACTCATCAAGATATAAAATAGAAAAAATTTGACATATGAAACATTAAGCTATATTTTATATGACTGAATCTACTTTGTTATATTAACAAAATTGATAAAAACTGAATAATTTTGCCCCCAAACATGGTAATGATTGCATGATATAATTTTTGAATTAAATTAAATTAATATGACTGTTACTGAAAGATGTATATAGTTTAGGAAATTATATTAGCAAATGACTTGATCTTTGTCAATTTGACTCATTGATATATGTATTTAAAAATGAAATATGTTTTATATAACTGTAGCTATTCTTTATATATCATATTGACAAAATTGACAAAAACTGAAAATTTTGCCAAACATAATTTTTAAACAGTAAAATTATATTGATACGAAAGCTTGAAAAAGTAACTTTTATTAGTTTAACTCATTTGATGATGTTTAAAAGATAAAATAAAAATAAGTTAACAAAGTATAATAGTATTATACTGTACATGTAGGTGTCACAATTAATATATATCTGACAATATAATTAAAAAGTGTTTAAATGCTATATATTAAAAGAGTTAGGCTAACAAAAGACAAGTCATTTGCTAAATACATATAAATTAAAATTCAATCTTCTATATAATTTTTTAACAGTCATATTGATATGATTTTATTCAAAAATTATTAACACCATCATTACTATATTTGGCAAAATGGTTTGGTTTTGTCAATTTTATCAATATGATAAAGAAGAGATTCAGTTATATATATAAATATAAATGTTTCATATAATAGATTTTTTCAATTTTATAATGTGTCAGCTTGAGTTATACTATTCACAAGAGATTTTTTTTATTTAAGTCTCTTATTTGTATCAAATATCCATCATTTTATTATTTAATATTTTTATCATTTAATATTTTTCACTTAAATAATTTTTTATCATTTAATATTTTTATCATTTAATATTTTTATATTTTTATCACTTTAATAATTTTTTATCATTTTAAGTTGAAAATATGAATACATCTGAGAGCTATTCTAATATTGAGAATATAAGTACATCTGAAAGCTATCCTGGTCAAAATAGTAAGTTTTAGGAATTTATTTTGATTAGTATTATTAATATCTAATTAATTAACTTTAATCTTTCTAGTTCTTATCTCTTATATAACAAAAAATAAGAAAATATCATATTGTGGATTTTTAAAAAGTTATCGTGATATAATTAGTACTTTAGTTTTTTCAGACAGCTGGGATGAACTTGACCATATTTGGACTGCTCACTTTTTGGATGAAGGAAAGGATATCCCGGATTTAAAAAATAAGGTGTGTTTTTTATTTGCAAAGTAAGAATAACCCCAAATTGATAATTGCTTTGAGATGTGAAATTACTGGATTTGACAACATTGGTAACCACCTAAAGCTCTCAGTTCAGGTGTTCTAACTTTGTAATTAATAAAATTTTACATACAACTAATAATCACTTTCTTGTAATAGGTAAATTCAGAACATTTACGTTATGCAAAAACATTGCATATATATTGGAAAGGAATTATTAATGAATATAAAAAAGAAAAAGAAAATCTGGTACCTACTGCTAAAAAGATAATTGAGATTCCTCATTCCATTCCTACTGATAATTATTTTATTTCTAATAATGATTATTCTATTTCTGCCAAAGATAACATTGAAGCAAAAAATCATTCTGTTCCTGCTAAAGATTATTCTATTTCTGCTAATAATTATACCATTGAAGCCAAAAATCATTCTGATGAAATTTCTTATAAAAATATTAAGCTTAATAACTTTTGTTATGATATTCTTCAGAATCTTGATGAACAATCTAATATTCATCCATTCTATAAATATGATGAAAAGGAAGTTTCAAATAAGTTTATAAAAAATCAAATGGATTTATTTACAATAAATTCAAAATTAGAAAATGACCAATATACAAGTACAAAAGAATTTGAAAATGATATTCGTCTTATATTTCGCAATTGTTATACATATAATGATATTGGAAGTGAAATGTATTGTTTAGGAGAAGAATTGGAATCAGCTTTTAATAAAATATGGACTGAAAAAATAATTTTTCAAGTTAAACAAAAAGAAAAATTAAAAAGAATACGAGATACTAGTGATGATGATTTGTCTTCTGGTAAGTTATATATTTTCATTACTTTTTTGTTGCATTTATATTATTAACTTTTTATTTATGACAATTTATTAGAACTTGTAACAAAACAAATTCGAATTTTAGAACAAAACAAAGACAAATTAGTATATAGACAAGTTGTAAATGATGCCCTCCTTATAGCTTCAGCATATGAAAATCTTGTTGCAGGTAATGTTATACCTTTTATAGAACTTTTAAAAACATTTCTGTCAACAAGATCAAAAATGTCATTATTTTCTGCAGATGAGGCTGTTCTTCAGGCAATTGTTGAAAGCCTTTTACCATTGAAATATTGTATCCCTGAACTTTCACTAGTAATGGATGGTACAAAATTAAAAGGTTTTGGTCGTTTTGGATATTCTGATATTTTTGTTTTAAAAGGAATAGGAGATAACAATATATGTTTGGAATTAAAATACATTTCATTAGTTAATTTAATTAAATTAATTAAAAATTATAAAAATAAATTTAATGCAAATGATCTGGAAAATCTAGATAAAATTATTGAAAAAGAAAATGAAAAGGTTTTGTTAAAAAGATTATATTCATATTGGTCAAAAGAATATGGAGAAACCAAACAAACAACTATAGGAGAAGTATTAGACAATGGGGTTAATCAATTGAAATCATATATGAATGTCATTTCAAATGGAAAAACAATTAATTATTCTAGTTCAGGAATATTTGATGAACGGATTAAAATAACTAAATCAACTCCTAATAAATTAAAAGGATTTGTTATCTTGGTAGTTGGCTTTCATCGTGTTTTATGGAGATCTGTAGAAGAAATAATATCTAATTATTCATATGATAGGGTTTAAAATATTTTTTTCTAGCATATAATAAATTTTATAGCTAATTTTTAAAGTATTATCAATATCTTCAGAATACATCTTTCTATTTAAATTAGGTCTGGTAAACTTTTCTTTGTGGTTATCTTTTGGGATCAAAGATGGTTGTCATGATACTCAATTGTATTTACACGAATCTCATAATTTAGGACTTCTTCTGGTCCAATAATAATCTGACCATAAATTTCCATGCAAATTTTTAATTTACAGTAAACTTTAAATAGTCCAAAAATTAATTAAATAGGACATCTTAATAACTAGTAATTTAAATTGGGTAAAATAGGTATTTTAATAATTTTAAATAAGCAATTAAATTTAGCATTAAATTAATACAAAATTCAGATTAGGGTTAGTATTGCTGTGATTTAGCTAAATTTTCATTTTTATTTGTATGGAGTGATCAAATAATTTAAGTAATGAAATATCATCCAGTAAAAATTAAGTATAACAGCTTAATGCAAAACATAAAAATATTTAGTTAATATTAATGTTTTGGAGTCTAACTTATTTCACTGACAATCATTTCATCACTATTTCAAATTGACAATTTCACTAACAATCATCTTACTGACAAGGAAATTTAGGATTAAAGGGTTAGGGTTAGATAAGGAATTAGGGGTTAGGATTAGGATAAGGTTAGGATGAGTGGATTAGGATTTCAAAACTGTTGGTGAAATTGCTGTTGCTAAAATGATCCTGTCAGAAAAATGATTGTCACCCTGTAAAAAATAAAGTTATCCATTTTTTATATTCCATCATATTTCTGAAATTAATAACCTTACATCACAAAATTTATCAATTTATTTACATTTTCCGTGAATGGATCCATGAAATGCTCATTTTATGGAATTTTTACGGAAATAATGGATAAAATTTTTTATAGGATTAGTAAAATTAGCCAGACCTAATGCTAATTGAACACTTTTTATTTTACATTAAGTTATATAATATTGCTAATTTTCCAAAACTTTATTATTATAATAATTATTAATATAGACTAGAGGCCTGCAAATGGGACACAAATAATCTTCTTTTTCATAATTTAATTATAAATAAGTGGAATGATCATTAGTATTTAGTAGATCATCAGCAGAAATAGAAAAAGATTTTTAGTATAAATGGAATCTTTAGCAGAATTGGAAAAAATGGAATAATCTTTATTAGAAATAGAATAATCTTTGAAATAGAATACAGTCCCCAGCAAAAATAATGGTCACACAAAATCAAATTGAAGTATGTGTTGATGCAAATAGAGGTCAAACCAAATATTTATCACAATAATAAAATATATGTATTTTTGATGATTCTTCTCAAAAATAAAAAAGATTTCATAGCTTCATTATAAAATTTATGTGCTATATTAAAAAAACTGACCACCATTACTTTTGCCGGGTCTTAGAAATAGAACAATCATTATTATAGAATAATCATTATTAGAAATAGAATAATCTTTATTAGAAATAGAATAATTTTTATTAGAAATAATCTTTATTAGAAATAGAACAATCATTATTATAGAATAATCAATAGAATAATCTTTATTAGAAATAGTATTAATCTTTAATAGAATAGAATAATCTAGAAATATAATAATCTTTTATATAGAATAATCTTTGGCAGAAATTGAAAGATTCTTAGCAGGAATGAACAATAAACTTTTTTCTTTTTCCTTTTTATATTTCTTAATAATTCTTTTCCAGTATATTTGTAATGTTCTTGCATAATATGAATGTTCTATATTTAACTGTTATAATAAAGAGATTATTAGTAGTGTGCAAAAATTTTTATTTAGTAATAAAAGAAGGTACATAGCAAATTCCTCCTCCAGAATAAGCAGACTTTTATCAACTACAAAGTTAGGACACCTGAACCGAGAGCTTGGGGTGGTTACCAAGGTTGTCAAATTCAGTAATTCCCTTAAGCCAACGCATCAACTTAGGGGTTATCCTATCATTGCAAAATAAAAAATAATACACACCTTGTTGTTCAAGAAATCTTTTTCTTCACTTAAAACTAAGATAATTATTATTAAACTAAGATAATTATTAATAATAATAATTATACTAATCTTGTTAATTAATAAAGTCGGTGAAATCTGGTTGGTAAAATCTTAAAATCAATTTTCTAAAAATCAAAAATTTTATCACAAATGGGAGGTCTTAAATAATAAAAAATCTAATGTAAATAGTATGACTCAGGTTGATGCATTGAGATAGTAAAAGTGATAAAAATTAATACATGAAATATATAACTGAATCTATACCTTGTCATATTATGACAAAATTGTATTATTTTGCCAAATATGGCATGATATAATTTTTGAATGACATTATATCAATATGACAGTCAAAAAATTAGACATATATAGCTTAGGAAATCAATTTTAATTTGTATATATTTAGCAAATGACTCAACTTTTGTCAATATTATCCATTTGACATAGAATTTTTATAACTTAACAAGGCTGACAATTTGCCAAACATAGCAATGTAGTATAACTTTTGTCAGTCTGACTCATTTGACAACCACATGATTAAGTCATTAAAAAATGATTGCCTATTACTACTTTTGAAGTCAAAATGCTGTAGTGTTACAACACTTTATTTACATAATGATTTTTCGAAGAATTTTCTTTTTGGAAAATAAAATAACAAAAATAAGTTTTCACCAAAAGCAAATTTACATTTTGTAATAATTTATAATACTAATAGTGAACTTCTCATACGTGATACCTTTAGTAAACCATTTTTCAAAACTGATAAATAAAAATCCCTTCATTCCGCTAATATGATTGAAGCATAGTTTACTATGGTAACAGAATCTGATCTACTTCGCTTTTGTAAATACTTTCAATGTACTCTATATTAATCTATTCATACTCTTTTAAATTACATTGTCAAACTTGTACCACCTACATGTAATTTATATTTATATAAAAGTTTATAAAAATTTTGTAATACTAGGGAAACGGTAAACCGTTACGTAGTCCGGAGCTTATCAGTATATAGGTAGATAATCACATGCTCAATTAACCGATTGAGATAATTTCGTGTGATATAAGAACCAATTAAACGTCGACTCAAAGAACAAGCGGACGGACAACGGGATATTTTGTACCACCATGGATAGAACATAAAGAGTCCTTCGCTACGCTCCGGACTAATAATAATTATTTAGTGATATCTGTTCTACAAAACAAAGTAGAAGTCAAAAAAAAAGTATTATTGAAGCTAGTGAGAAAAAAAACAAACTAAAATCTATTTGATGAAAAAATCAAATACCGTATTTGCCCGAAAATAAGCAACAAGTTTTTGCACATAATGCCGGCCAAGTTTTGATAATGTGGGTTAAAATTTGTTCTAATGCGGGCCATGTTGCTTATTTTCTGTCNGTATTTGCCCGAAAATAAGCAACAAGTTTTTGCACATAATGCCGGCCAAGTTTTGATAATGTGGGTTAAAATTTGTTCTAATGCGGGCCATGTTGCTTATTTTTGGTGATTGCTTATTTTTGGGCAAATACGGTAGCTCTTTTTAATCTGTAATTTAATATTTACAACTGTTGGACCATTTACATTTACAATGGCATTATAAGTTCATCAGATGTTCAACTATAGTGTTATTAATAATTAGAATTTGCCAAAAATGTATCATAGCTTTTTTGAGAAAATCTTTGCGTGAATTAGAACTAAAAATTTGCCTTTTTTTAACTAGCTTTAGTGATCGAGCAGATAACACCAAACTTCTCCTTTGATGTGTCTTACATGTACCATATTAAATATAGAAATTATAATCTTCTTACTCTCATTATTTATGTTATTTATGTCGCCCATACTGATGTACTGTACAACAAAAGAATTACAGTAAATCATAGAATTCTTGTTATGAAAATAAAATGATGGTCCCATATGAACATAAAATTTATTGATTTACACTTCATTTATTGCACATTTAATCCCATAAATTATCTGAAACTGTAAAAATATATAATTAAAATCTTTATTTATCTGAATTTGACATGACTAATAATTATTTATTTTTCTTGAAATGATTTATTATTTTTTAAATGTTTGATTTTTTTTGGAATAATCCATTTAACAAAATTTCTTTTTGTAAAAATTTTCCTAAATAAAGGAATATTAAAAGGGAGCATTATATGTTTATATGTTATGTAGTCAT